CGACGATCCCACTGACTCAGCCAGTTGCCTATGCACCGTGCTATGTACGCCTTGTAAATTATCGTTTGCTTTTTTCCACCATTTTCATTTTTGTTATGCCACACAATCAAGCGCAGCTATTCCGCTGCATGTAGTTGTTCGTATTGTTGGTTTTTGCTAATACTTCTATTTTTAGAATGTTTAACTTTTAGGTTTGACGTCCTTAAGTTATTTGTTTTTGTTATTTTTTGGCCTTATATCAATTATATTCAACAATTTTTATTGAGCTCGAGGCCGTTGCTTAATGAAAATTTACAAGGCGTACTTAGGACGGTGCATAGGCAACTGGCTGAGTCAGTGGGATCGTCGGTTCGAAGCCTACTGAAAGAAGTCTGATGAGGAAATGTGGTGATTTCCGAAATAGCTATCNCTGATGAGGAAATGTGGTGATTTCCGAAATAGCTCACACTTCTACCATTTTTTCAAATTATTGTTGCTTTTCCACAATAAATTTTCATTAAAAAACGGCCTCGAGCTCAATAAAAATTGTTGAATATAAAAGCGGATTTTTAATTTGGAATTTTCACTTAATAGAATTCTCCTTTCTGTGTAGGCGGCTTTCGGTCGCGCTTTAGGATTCTAACCCTTACCAAATAGAATTCTCCTTTTGGTGTGCACCAACTGGGGCTACCGCCCCAGTGATGTAGCCTAGGGAAAGGATAAGGTAACTAGAATTCCCTTTCTGTGTGGTAAACCTGGGGCTGCCGCCCCAGTGATGTGGGGTGGGCTTTAGATTGGTAACCCCAGAGCATGATGCAATAATACAAGGTGTTATCGGTTGGCAACTTCTCGCTCTAATTCCGCCATATTGACTGCCTTAGGTGAGACAGTGTTACTTCTTTAACAATTCTTTGCCTAGTAATATAGTTGAATATTTTTTTATTTTTTCGCAGTGTACACATTTTTTTCTTAAAAAGGTATTTTATCTTATTTTATTTCATTTCATTACGAATATACTATAAAAAAGCAAATTTTGTTTAGGAAAAAATGTGAAAGTTTATATTTTTCCCCCAAATGGGGCTTAATTTCTTCTCGTTATACTGAGCTAAGGCAGTGTCAAATCGAGCTGTCACAATTGATACCACCTTGTATTATTGCATCATGACCCCAGAGTACAGCAT